CCTCCTCCTCCTCCTCCTCCTCCTCCTCTTCTCGTCCGCCGCCGCCTTGGTGTGCCCCGGCTGGCCGGCCGCAGCGGCCGCGGCGCACGGCCGCCGAACGCCACCCCCAGGCGGGGCGAGCGTAGGCGCGCGCGGCACGGACGCTGCTCGCCCAGCTGTCGCCCAACTTCGGGCCGCGGGACCCTCGCGGATCGATCCGGCTCGTCACCGCGAAGGATGGGGTCTGGGGCTCTGGGGCTCTGGGCGTACTTTTGACGATGCTGCCCCTTTCTTTGAAACGTCGGACCTCGAGGATCGTCTGAAGGGGCAACGTTCACGGGGGGTGACTGGGTCAGGGAGGGGGACATCGACCTGGAATCGTCGATATCAGTGCTAATGGATCGGCGATAGGCCCCCGATTGCGAATCCGTGAGGTCCTTGGCGGGGTGGGCTATTGAATGGGCTAGTGGTGGCTGGTGCGTCCCCCCCTGAGCCTATCCCTCTTCACGTTTCGCTGAGCGCTGGAGTCGTCGTCGTCGTCGTCGTCGTCGTCGTCATCGTCGTCGTCGTCGTCGTGGTCGTCGTCGTGGTCGTCGGCGCCGTCGCCGTCGTCGTCGTCGTCGCCACTCCGTCGTCGCGGTCGTCGATGTCGTCGGTCGTCGGCCGCCGCCGTCGGCCGTCGCCGTCGCCGTCACAGTGTCGTCGTCGATCGTCGGACGCCGTCGTCGCCGCTGCCGCCGCCGTCGCCGTCGACGTCGTCGTGGTCATCGGTCGCAGTCGTCCTGGGCGTCTCGGAAGCTCCCAGTGGTTCTCGGAGGTCCTCCGCGGCCCTCGGCGAGCATCGGAGGGCTCGCGAGGAGAGTTGCTGTTAGCGCCGCGCGGTCCGCGTGCGCCACAGCTGTCGCTCTGCCGGAAGGAGCGCTGAACATGGAACGAAAGGGCTTCTCTAGCTACGGCGAGCCTCGGCCACGAGGAGGAGGAGGAGGACGAGGAGGAGGAGGGAGGAAGATGAGGAGAATGAGGAGGATGGGGAGGAGGAGGAGGAGGAGGAGGAGGAGGAGGAGGAGGAGGAAGCCCATCTGGCCTCTGGCGGGCTGGGGCCGTGAACGATCATCCGTTCGGCCTGATCGTTCGATCGCGCCGATCGACTCACGCCAATCGTGATCGGCCGCCCGCGGGGCCGGGCTCGCGCGCCGCGGCGGGTCGGCGATAGCCGACGCCGCAGCCGCGACCCTGCGCCTGGCTGCGCGCCCGCTGGCGCGCCACGTGGGGCCAGACGCCTCTGGAGCCCGCCTGGCACAGGCGGGAGAGGGCACGCCGCTCCTCGGCGAGGGCCCTGCTGCGCGTGGTGGAGGCGGCCAACGTCCTCAACAACCACCACTCAGCGCAGCAGCCCCAGCGCCAGCAGCAGCACCTGCGCAGCCGCAGCAGCAGCGCGATGGCAGCCAACGCAAAGTCTCACGGTCATCCAGTGGGTGCCAAGCCGTGGCCATGGAGGTCAAGCACACCAGCATCTGGCTCAGCTCACCGCCGACACCACGGAGGGCATGGACAGCAGCAGCCACGGTACCAGCCCCAGCACAACCAGCACCACCACGCCTCCTACCACGACGAGGACCGACAGCAACACAACTACGCCCAGCATCAGCAGCAGCATCAGGACGATCGCACCACAGCGAGAATGAAGCGGTCTTCCTCGAGACGACGCCGCCTGGCCTCCGAGGACACCACCAACGACCACCGACATCTGCAGAAGCTGACGAAACGACAGTTGGAGGTCACTGACAAGGTCATGCCCGCTTTGCTTTCGGATGCCAAGGGACATGAAAGCTTTTCTCTTCCTCCCGACGAGCCAGACATACGTCGGGTCTGGCACGCAACCAAGGTGGCGAGGATGGCACGTCTCGCCGACCAAGTCCTCGGAGCCAGGCAAGCTCAAGTTGACCCAACCCGCCTGATCGAGGAGCTGGCCATCGTCAAGACCATGCTACATCTATTGGACACGCCTACTGCTCGCATCGCTCAATACAGATCCCAAGTGGAGTCACGGATCCAGAGACAGCGGATCGTCGAGAGCCAGCTTCACGACCTCAACAAGGAGCACGACGAGATCAAGCGCGAGATCGCATCCTTCAAGACACTCATCTCCGAGGCCAAACAACATCGAGAACACGCCGACCTTTCTGAAGACAGCTGTGACGGGGACGGCGAAGATGATGTGCGCCCTCGTGTCAGGGGCAAAACACCACACCCTGAGGGACGACAGCGACCACTAGTTTGTCAACCCGTGTCCGAGCCAACGCCCGCTTCGACTACCAACGACGACAGCGACCTGCGGAAACTCATCGACGTGCTGACGAGGAGAGTGGATGAGCAGCAGCGCAACCACGGGATACACCAACACCATCTGGCGTTTCTCCATCATGAACGTGCCGAATCTGAGCAACACGAAGCACAGCGTCAACTGCAGACCGAGCAGATTCAGGAGCTTTCGCAACATCTACAACACTGCCAGGAACAGTTTCAGCAAGCACAACTCCAGCAGAGACAGTCGCACTACGACGAGATCCAAGTCTTCCGACGGCGCGAGGAGCGGCTCCGATACGAGGCTCGCGAATCCATCACAGAGAACCTGGCTCACTACCAGCAGAAGGAGGCCTACATGCGCGACCAGCTCAAGGAGGAAGAGTCAGCGCACCTCGCCACTTTCATCACCCAGAGGAAGCAGGAGGAAGAGACTTTCCGACACCAGCTACACGAGAACGCCGAGATCATGGTCCAACAATATCAACAACGATGCCACGAACAACAGCAACGTCTTCTCTCCGAGAAAGCTCAGGCTCAGCAGGAAATCAGCAACATCGCGAGGGTCGAACAGAACCAACTTCAGCATGCCAAGGAGCTACTCTTGGAGGAGTTCGGACAGGTCCAGGCTCAGAAGTACCGCACTCTGACGGCCCAGAGCGAGTACAACAGCGAGATCGACAAGCTTCGAGGCACCTCCCGCGACATGCAACGCTTCGAGAACGAACTCCAGGAGCAGCACCAACTCCAACTTCAGGAGCACCTTCAGCAACACAGACAGGAGCGCGAGCGACTGCACTGCGAACTGCAGCAAGCCCATGAGCTCGGCACCAGCATCGACGTGGACATCCTCAGGGAGCTCGACACACAACTTCAAGAACGAGACGAGGAAGACGCACGACTGCAAGCCCAAGCAGACGCCGAACAAGCACAAATCGACCAACAGGTACAAGCGGCACTCGACCTGCTGACCCCACCCTCTACCTCCGAGGACTCGGGCTACCAACTCTACCTCAGAAACTGCGGCAGCAGCAGCGGTGGACAGCCTAGCAGCAGCGGACAGCGCAGAAGCACACCACCACCACGACCGACACCTGCGACGCCAACCGCCACTCCTACTGCGCGACGCCCATGCCACGACGCCGACGACGCCAGCGTGCACACTCCAATCCCAGCTGACGACGACGACCTTTGCAGCCCAACCCCTGTTGCGAGCGACGCATATCCCTTCCCTGCCCCTACGCCACTACCTACCCCCGCCTTGCATACGCCAATCCCCCCTGAGCAGCCCACGCCCATCGATTTCCACCCACCCGATCTGCAGCATGACCGACCCAGCTCAGCGCCACCAACACGCACCAGAAGGACAGACCCAAATCGGCACACCCACCCATCCACTACTCTTCTCATTGACATCACTTCCGACGACGATGCACCACCACCTTCCACCCCAGTGCGCATTCCACTAGCCGACATATCCCCTACCGCACCGATGCAGCCAATCCAACCACCACCCCGCTTCCACCTCGCCACGCCTGACCGCGCCACCTCCGCTCCTCCACCCCGCACCGCTCTCCGCAAAAACGGATCATCTAGCCGAACGGCCAAGCACAAGAAAGTCCGCATTTGCGACATCGGAGACGGCTTCGCAGACCCAGGAGACCGCGTGCCAGCCTTCCTCTACGACGAGGAAGCCCCCGCGGTCAACTCACCAAAAAACTAACAAGGCCCTCACCCCCTGGGGGGCAACTGGCCCAGGGGGAGCGGCCCAGCATCATACCAGAAGACTACCAGCGCAACGACGGCACTTCCGACTCCTGCAGTGGTTACGCCGACGACGTCATGCGCCTCCGGGAGCCCCTCCGAAGGAGGAGCAGATCCGCTGCACTTAAGGGCCCCTTAAGTGCAGCGGGCTGTCTTGGCCTCCGGCAGCCCCCTAAACCCTACGACACTTCACAAGTTTCACCTACCGTATCATCAGCCACTAGCGACATGCGCGTGGGGGAGAGCGCACCTCCAGATCTTTACGAGCATGGCGACATGTGGGAAATCCACACACCGCCCAACATGCTACAGCCTAGTAGTGGACCGTGGACCATCCCCTCGGCCGCTACCTCTCGCTTGGGGAGCGCGAGAAGGCTGTCTCACACAGATCCCACACTAGAGCCACATACGCTAGCGGACCGACCAGATACCGCCACCCAACCTCGACGGCAGCATGTCGACTCACATCCTCCGCCAGCGGAAGCCCAGTCACGGTCGTTCCCGACGATGACGACGCCACCGCCTACGCCTCGAGAGGACGCATCGCTTTGTGAGTACAACACGGGGGGGTGCGGCCGTCTGTGGCCAGAACGACCAGAGCCACCAACAAGGCATCGACGCACTAGCCATTTTGGCCAAGATGGCGATCGAGACCGACAATTTTGT